CAAGTAGCTGGGACTACAGGCGTGTACCACCGCACCTGGCTAATTTTTGTATTTTTAGTAGAGACAGGTTTTCACCATGTTGGCCAAGATGTTCTTGATCTCTTGACCTCGTGATCCGCCTGCCTTGGCCATCCAAAGTTCTAGGATTACAGACGTGAGCCACCACACCTGGCCCTATTAATATAAATTTCTTAGCAAAATATTAAAAAGTAAGGCCTTAGGTAATAAAAATTATTCATTAAAGTCTGTCTAATAAATACTGACAAAGCTCTTTAAAATTAAGCTCTATCATGAAAAATGTAAAGAACAGCCTTAGTAGTAATTCCAGATCAAGGGTCCCCTTAGTCTCTGAGTTCACATTACAGATATTATGGATAACTGGCTGTGGATGCCAGATCACCAGGAGGTGTGTCAGCAGAGAGCATAAGCTCAGCTCTACGGTCTGCCTGTGAACTCAATGATTCTGCTCAGCTTTTTGCACAACTTCAGTTATGTCCCAAATTCTTTTATGAAGGAAACAAATAAATGTAAAATATGTCATCATGACCTTGTAAGTCAAAGGAAACCTAGAAATTAAATTTTGTTTATTTTTTCCACATGAAAGCAGTTGCCACATCTAAACAACTCAAAAACAAGGAAAAATCCATTTCACATTTAATTTATCATTTTGAATAAATGTCAGAGAATATAGAATGGAGGAAATAGAATGTTAAGTGAAAAAAGCAAGCTTTTAAAACTATTTGTATGAAAAAAATACTGACAGTAACTAGTAGCCTTATGAAGAAAGAAGGATTTCAGTAAAGGTAAATACATTAATATTATTAAGATGTCAGCTGGGCGAGGTGACTCATGCCTGCAATCCCAGCACTTCAGGAGGCCGAGGCAGGTGGATCACCTGAGGTTGGGCATTCAAGGCCAGCCTGACCAACATGGAGAACCCCTGTCTCTACTAAAAATACACAATTAGCTGGACATGGTGGCACATGTCTGTAATCCCAGCTACTCAGTGGGGCTGAGGTAGGAGAATCACTTGAACCCGGGAGGCAGAGGTTGCAGTGAGCCAAGATTGTGCCATTGCACTCCAGCCTGGGCGACTAATTTTTGTATTTTTAGTGGAGACAGGGTTTCACCATATTGGCCAGGCTGGTCTTGAACTCCTGACCTCAAGTGATCCACCCGCCTCGGCCTCCTAAAGTGCTGAGATTACAGGCATGAGCCACCATGCTTGGCCCTTCATTTTTTTTTTTTCTTGGTAGAAATAGAAAAGCCTATCCTAAAATGTCTGGAATCTCAAGGGACCCTGAATAGCCAAAACAATATTGAAAAAAGCAAAACTGGGCCAGGCATGGTGGCTCACACCTATAATCCCAACACTTTGGGAAACCGAGGCAGGTAGATCACCTGAGGTCAGGAGTTTGAGACCAGCCTGGCCAACATGGTGAAACCCTATCTCTTCTAAAAATATAAAAATACAAAAAGAAAAATAGCCAAGCATGGTCGCACGTGCCTGTAATCCCAGCTACTTGGGAGGCTGAAGCAGGAGAATTGCTTGAACCCCGAGGCAGAGGTTGCAATGAGCTGAGATCAAGCCACTGCACTGCAGCCTGGGTGACAGAACAAAACTCTGTCTCAAAAAAAAAGAAAAGAGCAAAACTGGAAGACTCACACTTTTTATTTCAAAACTTAACACAAAGCTGTAGTAATCCAAACAGTATGGTACTGGCATAAAGACAAACATATAGACCAGTGGAATAGAACTGAAAGTTTAGAAATAAACCTTCACATACATGGTCACATGATTTTTGACAAGGGTGCCAAGACCAGTCAATGGGGAAAGGACTGCCTTTTCAGCATTGAAAACTATTAAGAAAACTGGATATCTGCATACAACAGAATGAAATTGGACCTTTACCTAATGCTCATGTTTAAAAATTAACTCAAAGTGGTTCCATGACCTACAACTATAAAACTCTTTGAAGAAAACATGGAAAAACTTCATGACATTGGATTTGGCAGTAATTTCTTGGATATGACAAAGAAAAAATAGGATTTTATGAAAATTTTAAAAATTTGTGCATCAAAAGACACTATCAACAAAGGAAAAAGGCAAGCCACAGAATGGGAGAAAATATTTGCAAATCATATTTGATAAAGCATTGATGTCCAGAATATATAGAGAACATCTAAACAACAACAAAAACTCTATTCAAAAATGGGCAAAGCTCTCGAATAGACATTTCTCCAAAGAAGATATGCACGTGGCCAATAAGCACAAGAAAAGATGTGCAACATCACTAATCAAAAGTACAGCGAGATATCTCCTCACACCCATTAAGATGGCCGCAATCCAAAAACAGAAAATAACAAGCGTCAGTGAGGATGTGGAGAAATCGGAATCCTTGTACACTATTGGTGGAAATGTAAAGTGATATAGCCACGGTGGAAAACAATATGATAATTCCTCAAAAGATTAAAAATGGAACTACCGTATGTTGCAGCAAATCCACTTCTGAGTATATATCCCAAAGAATTGAAAGCAGGATCTCAGAGAAATATTTATATGCCTGTGTTCGCAGCAGCATTATTTATTCACAATAGCTAAAACATGGGAGCACCCAGGTGATCATCAACAGATGAATGGGTACACAAAATGTGGTATATTCTACACAATGGAATATCACTTACCCTTTAACAGGAAGGAAATTCTGACAAATGCTATGACATAGATGCACCTTGAGAACATTCTACCAAGTGAAATAAACCAGACACAAAAGGACAAATACTGTGTGGTTGTACTTAAGTGAGATAGAGTAGACAGAATCATAGAGACAAAAAACAACTGTGGATCTAAGACCTAAAACTATCAAACTCTTAGAAGAAAACATGAGACAAAACATAATGACATTGGATTTGCTGGTGATTTCTTAAATATGACAACAAAGGCACACATACCTGTAGTTCCAGCTATTTGCATCAGGAGACTAAGGCAGGAGGATCACTTGAGCCCAGGAGTTCGAGATTAGCCTGGGCAGCATAGTGAGACCCTGTCTCTAAAAAATAAAAACAAAAATGAAAAAAATCATTGAGGCAGAAAGTAGAATGGTGGTTGCCAGTGGCTAGGGAAATGGTAGAACAGGAAGTTTAATGGTCCAGAGTTTGAGTTTTACAAGATGACGAGAGTTGTGGAGATGAATGAAGCATTCTGAGCCATTGAACATCCCTGAACTGCACACTTACGTGTTAAGAATGTAATTTTTTGTTATGTGCATTTTACCACAACAAAATAATTTTTATAACTCCACAGTACAATCCTAATGATTATCTTTTTAAAGTTGTAGTTAATATAAAACACTGCTGAGAGAACTTAGAGACCACCTATATAAACTGGAAAATAACATGTTCATGGACCAGAAGATTGAATATTATTAAAATGTTGATCATCTAGAAATAAAAAAAAAATAAGATAAAGTTGTAATTAAGATTAGAAGGAAATATGATAAATTTTCTTTTGTACTTGGGTTTGCCCAAGCTATCTATAAAAACAAGTATAGTGCTTTTATTATCAGAAAAAGATAACTGTGTAAAACACAGGCATAAAAATTAGAAAGCAAGACAAATTAGTAAGAAGGGGAAATTTTTCTATTTAATGAGACTTTTCTGTCCATTCGGTATCTTTTACTGCTTCCTAAAATCTTTACAGTGACTAGGAGGTCTTTTGCAGGGGAATTACTCTGTTGTCTTACTTGTCTGCTGTCTTAGGTGAAAGTGACATTACTGAGTTTGGTACCTGTGGCTTTGCCCACAGCCCTAACATGTTTACCACAATTAGTCCCTGTCCCCTTCCCCATCTCCACTTACAGCTTGCGCTTGCGAGACCGCTGCCATGTTACAGCTAAGTCTGCAGCTTCAGAGCAAAGCTGACTCAACTGGCTTATTTATCCACTTCTGCTAACTAAATGGCACCACCATCTCTATTCCATGCCCACTTTCCTTTTTTTTATTATTTTTTATTTTTTCTCCATGCCCATTTTCAATAGTCCCTGAGTAACTGCAAATTGACACCTGATACTTTCCCAAAAGGGATCATGAAATTTGGATGGCAAATTATAATCTTAGAATTGTCAGGAATTTTTCTTCCTTACTGACCCATAAAAATAATGGTATGTCTTACAGTTTGTAGCATCATAGAATCAAGAAAAATGGGTATTTATGCATATAGTAAAAGCATATCACAAAGAAAAGAAAGAAAAATGAGACACACTGCTAAAATAATACTTGATATAAACAAATGGTTAATGTCTCAATTCTACAGAGCATTTGTGTAATGTAGGGAGGTTTATAATTTTGTTGTATTTATAGAGGCAAACAGTTTGGACTTGTAGTGCTAATTTTACATTTTAAGTCTTTGTTTTAGCCCAGCCTGCATATACAGTGGGTCAAAAGGAAGAGTTGACTTTTCAGGATATTAATCACCCATTACTTTGTATTTGAAAAGCATGACTGTAAGTCAAATTATTATTTAATATGAATTGAAGAGTAAGTCCAGGTTGCTGCTAATTCCTCACATTATCATTCATCCTTGGCTGTAAAAGGACAGTCTCAGATGGTCTGCCTTGTGTTACTGTAAGGAGAAAAGAGAAAAGGAAAACCTTGTGATTGACAACCAAAATGGCTTTTGCATTGTGAATGTGGATCAGAGCTTCCACAATGGCTTGCAAGCATTGAATTGATACTGATAAGGAAGAAACTGATAATGAGTGCCTTCTGTCCTCAAACACTCATTACCTAGGTTCGAAGAAACTCTAGCCATTAATATTAGCATTTCAAAATTACTCTTGGCTTTATCCATTAGCACTGTTATCACGTATTTGCTGGTAGGATCACAACCATGGAGTCAGTAGAGACCCGCGGAAGGCGTTGAAAGGATGGTTTGTCTTGGCTGCAATCCTGTTCCTCTATTCATCTTACACATCCCCTCTCTCCTGTTCCTGTACCCGCAGCGAAGCTGCCGCCCATGCTGTCGCCACCCTGGCTGAGGCCACCTTACAAGGTGGGGGACAGATCGTCTTGTCTGGGGAAACCGCAGCAGCTGTCGGAGCACTTACTGGAGTCCAAGATGCTAATGGTAAGAGAGCATAAATATTTTATTGAATTTCTTCCCTGTTTCCACTTAAACCTTCCTGACATGACTGGCAACAAACCCTTCAGACAGAGTTTGAGCTTTGATTTTTTTTCTTCATTGGTAGACATTTGATGTCTAGGAGTATTCTAGGACCCTGTGATTCCTTTCACTAGTAGAAGATGTGGGGGTTCCTGAAGGAAAATGCCATAATAATAACTACCTAATTGAATTGTTACTTAAAAAGGGATTATCTTGTTGTGACAAGACTTGCTGAGAGGCACCTTAAAATTTGCTGTGAAGCATATTTTGTCTTTTACTTCTCATCAGGTAGGGTAGATCAGTGTCCTTTACTGTAGCAGAGACTCTCCCATGGGCAGGCCTGTCGTGGAATGTTCTGACTACATCAAGGAAGGCTCCACCGTCTCACCTGTGCTCAAGGTCAGGCAGCAGGCTGTGATGCTGGTGCCTCTCTGGTTGGTACTGTGGATCTGCTTCCTGTTATATGTAGCCTCACCAAGGACCTCTGGATTTAGCCAATTACATAACCCCACCCTGCGCTTCTTCCCCAGCTCTTTGACTTCCTGGACATTGGTGAATAAGAGACAAAATTCATAGAAATACGGTGGCAAAAATATACAATTCCAGCCCAGTTTTTGGGTCCACTTGGTAAGGAGTCAGTTGGCAAGACTTAGGCTGTTCAAGGAAGTGCCTCGGAAGTCTGGGTCAAGGAGGAGGGCCACATATTTTCTGTGAGATTCTATGTGATTATTTGTTACATTTTTAAATAATATATAATTAGGCAGAACAAATTAAATACTCCATGGCTTTGAGGAAATTGTTGCTTTAAAGTCCTGGAATGAGGCCGGGCATGGTGGCTCATGCCTGTTAATCCCAGCACTTTGGGAAGCCAAGATGGGTGGAACATCTGAGGTCAAGAGTTCAAGACCAGCCTGGCCAACATGCCAAAACCCTGGCTTTACTAAAAACACAAAAATTAGCCAGGCATGGTGGCATGCGAGGCTGAGGCAAGAAAATCTCTTGAACCCGAGAGGCAGAGATTGCAGTGAACCGAGACTGCGTCACTGCACTCCAGCCTGGGTGACAGAGTGAGACTCCATCTCAGAAAAATAAATAAATCCTGGAATGAGGATAGATAAATAACATTCTTCCATTATTTAGGCAGAAGGTTCATTAATGGCATTAGTGGCACTTTGTTAATGGTAGGTCCCTAAGAACTGAATGCTCTGTTACTTGGAAAAGTCTTTGAAGAAAAACATACTGCTGAGTCCTCCTTTGGAATAGGAGGAAACAAAGTACCTCTGTTCCCCCAGAGAAGAACATAGGAAATGCAAAGAGCCATCGTGGCTTCTGAGAATTATTTTCCAAAAATGCTAAACAAATTCAATTCTAAAACTATAGCCCTACTTTTTCTGTAGGGCAAGAGGCTCTCGTGAACTAACCTAAATCTAGACAGAGTTGGTCTGAGCCAGAATGCTGCAGGACAAAGGACATCTTATAGCCACACATGTTCAGAATGAAATGGACCATGGTGGGAATTAAGAAAAACCTCTCTCTCTAGTTAGAATCCTGCTTCTATTTTTTTACCTTTTTCTATTCCTCAGCAGAGTCCTAATCCACCCTGAGCAAAGGATAGGATATCTGGCTATGTGGCATTCATCTGAAGTGTGATTGCTATTATTCACTATGGAACTGCTAAAAATAACTTCCTATGTGGGTTCGGTAGGAAACTTTATTATCCATTCTAATCAACTTGACCTGTCTGAGAGAAAACAAACTGCTTTATAGTTCTGGCTCCCCCCCAGCGTCACCTTTTCAGATGGATGCATTTATAGGTAAGTCCAAGGACGGTCTGGCTCTCGGCCAAGTAGACCTGTTCAGCCATATAATAAAGTTGAACCACACCCGCTACTATTGATTACTGGAAGCTGCCTCTTTTCAGTAGCATTGGGTTGTGTGAATCATTTGGTGTGATTTCACATTGTTGGCTACATTTGTGACCTGGGAATACTCTGGTTCACATCCTAAAAGCCAGTAGTTCCCCCAGAGCAGGCCATCCGCAGTGTATGACTGCCAATATTTGCTGAACTCAGGCCTTTTGAGAATTGGAAGTTATCCCTTTCTCAATGCAGCTTTTCTGTATCAAATCAGACCCTTGAGTTGTGCCATATCCCAGCAGTTTTAGGCAAAGGCCAATCATTTCATCTGCCCTTGGAAATCCAAAGAATTAATCTAATATTGGATATGATCCAAATAACTTTGATAATCCTTCTGTCTTCTAAAATTTTTACCCACAATGCTAGGGTATTTACTTCAGGATTGGAACCAGATGTTTCCCTCTTAATCAGCAATTTTGATATCTGGCTAGACTTTTAGAGGTTCTCTTTTTCATTATTCTTTCAGGTTGTGTCCTGTTGCCAGTGTTTATCACTTCTTTTTTTGTGAGGGGACAGTCTTGCTCTGTCACACAGGCTGGAGTGCAGTGGCATGATCTCAGCTCACTACAACCTCCACTTCCCAGGTTCCAGTGATTCTCGTGCCTAAGCCTTCTGAGTAGCTGGGATTATAGGCATGCCACACCATGCCTGGCTAATTTTTGTGTTTTTAATAGAGATGGGCCACGGCTGATCTTGAACTCTGACCTCAGGTGATCCACCCACCTCAGCCTCCCAAAGTGCTAGAAATACAGGCATGAGCCACCATGCCTGACCTGTTTGTCACTTCTGAGCCGACAAGCTTTTGGTATCTGCCAGTAGGTCACTTTTTTATTTTTAACTTGTTTCTTTTTTTAATAGGAATGAGGTCTCTCCTTATTGCTCTGGCTGGTCTCAAACTCTTGGGCTTGAGCGATCCTCCCACCTCGGCTTCCCAAAGTGCTGGGATTACAGGCATGAGCCACCACAGCCCAGACAGTCCAAGTTTTTTCATCAGACAGTTTATTATCAGGAAGACCAGATGAGAGCAGAATGAGGTGCTATTTGTTGACATAGAACTAACTTGGAAACAGATACTACTTAGGGGAAAAAATGTATCCCGTATTTCAGAGTATGGTTTACATAAAAATTGGAATAACAGATGACTCTTCTAAGAGCAGTTTGGATATTATTCAGTCCTGAAGTAGAAAGAGTTTGTTGGATGGAACTAGCAGGGATAGAGGACCACTGCATGTGGAGCTTGATAAGGTCCACATTGGACTTCATTGGCTGGGGCAGGTGAGGTTATGAGGCAGTATCCTGGGGATGGTGTTTTTCCAAGTTAGAGCTAATAAGCCAGGCACGGTAGCTCAAGCCTGTTATCCCAGTGCTTTGGGAGGCTGAGGTGGGAGGATTGCTTGAGTCTAGGAGCCCAAGACCAGCTCGAACAACATAGTCAGACCCCATCTCTATAAAAAATTTAAAAACATAGCCAGGAGTGGTGATGGACACCTGTAGTCCCAGCTACTTGGTGACCTGAAGTGGAAGGATTGCTAGAGCCCAGGAAGTCAAGGCTGCAGTGAGCCATGATCACACCACTGCACTCCAGCCTGGGTGAGACGTAGAGACCCTGTCTCAAATAAAAAAAAAAGCCAGATGCAGTGGCTCACACCCATAATTCCAGCACTTTGGGAGCCCAAGGCAGGTGGATCATCTGAGATCAGGAGTTCAAGACCACTCAACCAACATGATGAAACCCTGTTTCTACTAAAAATACAAAAAATAAGCCAGGTGTGATGGCAGCACATGTAATCCCAGCTACTTGGGAGGCTGAAGCATGAGAATCGCTTGAACCCAGGAGTTGGAGGTTGCAGTGAGCCAAGATCATGCCACTGCAATCCAGCCTGAGTGACAGAGCAAGACTCCATCTTTAAAAAAAAAAAAAAAAGATAATGACCCATGCATGCCAGAAGTTTAAATTCTGGATCACCAAAGCAGACCTGACAAAGACATTGCAACCAGCACCTGTGCATCCTGAAGACTTCTTTCTTCTGGCCATCTACCCCAACACTAAAGGAACTGCCCAAGCACTCACATTACTTTATTTCCGTGTTCTGTCTTTTTCAATAGGCTTTGGTCTCTTAGGATGGAGTTTCATGGTTGAACTCAATATAAAGATTTTCACAGGTGCTTTTCATTTAGATGTAGGTAGAATTGCCTAAGACTGGGGAAGGCTACTAGAAGAATTCCTTCCTTTATTTCTTTGTTTGTTTGTTTTGAGATTGGGTCTTGCTCTGTCACCTAGGCTGGTTCACTGCAGCCTTGACCTCAAGGTCAAGCTATCCTGCCACCTCAGCCTGCCGAGACTCTGGGACCGCAGGTGTGCACTGCTACACCTGGCTAATTTTTTAAATTATATATTTTGTAGAGATGGGATCTCCCTTTGTTACCCAGGCTGATCTCAAACTCCTGGGCTCAAGAGGATCCTCCTGCCTTAGCCTCTCAAAGTGTTAGGATTATAGGCATGAGCCGCCACACCCAGCCCTTTACTTCTTTTTTTGAACACAGTTACCCTCTCAATACTGTTTTTATCATATACACCTTAAGGTAAAGGTAAGCAGTTATACAGTTCAGCCCATTTGTTTTTCTTCACTCTACCTACCTCTTTGCTGGTCCCCAGAAGCCCCTGTGTTCCAGGACTCCTGACCTCCAGGACCGACAAATACGGGCCTTCACTACAAATACAGGCCTTCACTCAGGCTTGAGGAGCTCTTTGTTGAGTACCTCTCACCTCTCACCCAGTCCTTCACACCCATTGTTGGCAAACCTCAGAAAACCAGGTCTACAGACCTTTCTCTTCCTTCCTATTGCAGCAAACATAATGAAAGATAAGGATTATATTGGCACTTGGCCATGTCAGAAATACTCTTTTATCTGAGATCTTACCGCAGATTCATACAGCCCCTATCTTTCATTCCTGAAAAGTAGATGGGGGAAAACAAGATAGATAACAAGTTCCTAAGTATTGGTTGGTGCAAAAGTAATTGTGGGTTCTTTTTGACATTAAAAGTA